TAAATATCTGTCATTTAAGATTTTTACACAGAAATTAAGGAAATTATTAAATAACTTTAATATGAGTAAAAACTAATTGCACAAGACTAAAATATTTCTATTCAATACGTATTGAGAAAAAAAAGAATATGAAATACACTACTACCCTACACTTAATCTATTAAACACTTATTGAAAAACAGAGATAAGGGTAAATTTGGAAGAAAAATATTAATTATGCCTTAATTTCATTAAACGACAGATATTATGGAACACAAAAAATTATTCAAAACGACAGATATTTAGGAACGGAGGGAGTATTACTCTTCAATAAAATCGTATTTGTTATACCTTTTTTTTTATAAAAACTGTAATTTTTAAAAATCATGTATTAACATTAAAAGTGTAATTGTTAAATATATTTTTAAAAAATATCATAATTTGATAAATAAATTTAAAATAATAATAAATTAGTATGTTTGTTTCAAAATGTCAAAAAATAGATAATTAACTTGAAAAAATTGTGACAACTGTTATGATGATAACCATAGTAACAAGGGTAGAGATAATAATGATGGTATTAGTGATAGTTACAATAATAGAAGTTATTGTGAAAAATGGTCATAGTCATTCACACTTTCTCTAGAATTTTATTTTACTTTTAACTGTATCATTTTGAGTTCAAATCTTGTAATATCATTAGATGGAGATTATTTCTGGTACACTATTATTTAATGTGCAAAATCACATATCATGTATAACTAAGCTCCTATCAATACATAACGGGTACCTATCTCTCTTTTTACTTTAATTTTAAATTACGCAATTTAAAAAATTAAATTATTATTTAAAATATAAATATTAAAAGATCAATTCGATTTTTAATATTATATAATTTCTTTAGATACAAGATTATTGTTAGAATTTGACAGGGACCAGTATTCAACAACACCAGTATAATGTATCCCCGAGTTATGTCTCCAAATTACATATAAAGTGTATTAGAGTGAATGAATTGAGTATAAGTCATGTCTCATGTCTAAATTTGTCCAACATATATCCGTTCCTCTGTCAATTCTATGTCTAGAATACCTTTGTTTTTAGCCATATTCATACCGATCCTTTCATTAAAACAGATGCAAGAAAACTATCCGTTTACCAGAGATCATACTCAAAAAAAAAAGAAAGCATGTACTATCCTATTCCAATCAATTCAACACAAAAGCTTGGATTCACAACAAAGAGCTTGAACGAAAATCATTTCAACATCCTTATTATCAAAAGGTAACTTGTAACACTATCGAGCAAAGATCAAAAAAAAGGAACTAGAAATAGAAATAGAACCCAAATGATGTGTTAGCTGACATGATAAATAAATCTTATAGTTTAAAAAATACAAGTGGAACCAAAAATATGTAACTTGTAACACTATCGAGCATATAACTCAGTTATGGAAGCCTCATTCACAGACTGATTTTCTAATTGATTGGCCTGAGTCACACCTGAGTTATACCTCCGATACAATGGCGTTTCTGAATCACTATTGTTGTTGAATATAAGAAATGCAGGCTCTTTGGGTACTGCCAGGCTGAGAGAGCCGCTATTAAGCATCAACATAACTGAAGCCATAGTTGGTCTATCTGCTACATTTTCTTGAACACAAAGCATTCCAATATGGATGCATCTCATTATGTCTTGTTCTGAACATGAACGTACAATCAATTTGGGATCTACCAAATTTAAAGTCGTTCTATCTTGCCAATTTTTCCAAGCCTGCAAAAATGCAACATGTGAAACTATAAGATTTCTTTCTATTATAATTTATGCGGCTAGTAATGAGTCTTCCTTATTTAAACTTACACAGCTAAGGAGATCCTTTACATTCTCCCCTTGTCGCATAGAGTTGTTCTTTCGACCACTTAAAATCTCTAGAATTATCACGCCAAAACTGAAGACATCTGACTTAACTGAGAATTGTCCATGCATTATATACTCTGGTGCCATATAGCCGCTGTAATTATTCAATCATGGATAATAGCATTAGAGGTTGAAGACCGTTCTTAGGCTTGAAGACGTTCTTCAACTTAAGCCTCTTGTGTTTTTCCTTGGATATTTTCTAGAACCACTTAATTTGTATTTTCAAGATTAATTGCAAAGTTTTGTAAAACTTTTGTGCTATTCAATGATAGAGAAACAAAAGTTAAGAATCATTTCATACTTACTAAGTCCCCGCAATACGACTTGTAATGCCTTGAGTTTCATCAAGCACAGAAAGTCTTGCCATTCCAAAATCTGCAATTTTAGGGTTCATCTCTGCATCTAATAGAATATTACCAGCTTTGAGATCACGATGAATGATTCGATGTCGAGAATCTTCATGAAGATAAAGAAGTCCCTTAGCAATGCCTCCGATGATTTTGTAGCGCATATCCCAATCTAAATGTTCTCGTTTAGTTGGATCTACAACTCCAACCAAACACACAAATTAGGCAGAGATTGTTTAAATATTAGCAAAACAAATTTGAGATAAGGATATCAAATTGTTACTGATGTCTTAATTTTTTCTCTATTTGTCATTTTAACTATGTAAGGAGATTTGTATTATAGATTATGTTAATAAAGATAAAAACTTTAGAGAAGGTGGATTGTCGGAGGCTACATACCAAATATGAAACGATCAAGACTTCCATGGGGAAAAAACTCATATATGAGGAGTCTTTCTGTTCTTTCTAGACAGAAACCTAGGAGCCTAACCAAATTCCTGTGCTGAAGCTTTACCAACAATAACACTTCATTCTTAAACTCATTTTCACCTTGTAAGGAATCCTTGGACAACCTCTTCACTGCTATTTTTTTCCCGTTTTTAAGGATACCCTATAAATATATCAACACCAATATTAAATAAATTCACACTCTTAAGCAATGATATTTTTTTATTTGATGCAACTAGATAAATTTTCAAAAGGGAAAGTATTGTATTACCTTGTAAACAGCCCCAAATCCACCATGTCCAAGCTTGTTACTTTCAGAAAAGTTATCCGTAGCTATTTCTATTATACCAAAGTCGTACTTCAAGGTTTCTATGCTGGTGATTTCAACCTCGTCTTCAAATTTGGAAACGAATATTGTGCTAAATCAAATCAGAGTAGTATACGGCAAAAGCTATGCATTACAATATTAGCAAACATAGGTCATATATTCGACTAGTGTTACTATTTTTTTTTTTTAATCCTTGATGATAGATATATGAACTTCTGAATCCATTCCACTCTTAAATTTTCATGCATTAACTACTAGTTCATTGTAGATATTTCAAGTGACATTCTCTTTTAGTGTACCAAAGATTTTGACATGTATAAACTAGAGCATGCTGATTAGTATACCAATGATACTATTGGAACCTCATTTGTTGATCTAATTCATCGCAACCATTGAATTGATATTGGACCTAACAAATACTGAAATATACTATTAATCTAATGGTTATGAACAAATTAAGTCAACCAATTAAATCTTAATATACATGGTTGACAATATTTAAAACTAAAGTAATGCTACATGAACTTAAAAAATTGACTTCATCAATCATTGTAGTTGATTAAACTATGAGTCCTACTATTTTATTGGGATCCACTATTTATTTAATAGTTGTGATTATCAAATCAACAAATCAAGTCTGTCTTTTTAAGTTCAAACAATATTTTCCTTGAAATTGTTGTATCTCCCGTATATTTTAGGTAATGATCATTTATGATACAGTAATTGGAGCCTAACTTTTAAATAAACTATGAAAAATCAGTTCCAGTACTCTCATTAATCAGGAAAAAAAAAACTTACCGTCAAATTTTTGTTCTGACTTCCTATGCTTCCGTTGTCTCCTCTTTCTTAGAAAGATACAAATGAAAATGATAAGGATCACAGAAATGAGAGTTGGAACAACAATAGTGTAGATAGTTCGAGTTTTGCTACTGTCTTTGCCTGCGNGACTTCCTATGCTTCCGTTGTCTCATCTTTCTTAGAAAGATACAAATGAAAATGATAAGGATCACAGAAATGAGAGTTGGAACAACAATAGTGTAGATAGTTCGAGTTTTGCTACTGTCTTTGCCTGCGAAATTACAGAAATGTGCTTTGATTATGTTAATGATAGTTTTGGGATGTTGAATTCATTGTGACCAACACTACAACTCGGAAGGGGGAAAATATGTTTTAGGCAGCCTTAAACATGCTCTT